GTGATCATTCGTTATAAGATCATTAAAGACTTTCTTTTATTATTAAAATATATCCATCCATCTGGCCTTATAACCTTCAAATGTTTTTTTTTTTTTTTTTTTTTTACTTTTACTTTTACTTTTCAAACAAATCTTTATCATAGCAACATTCAAAGTTTGTCTTTACAGACTTTCTGGTACTGTATGATTTTCTTTCATTCTTTAAATTGGACTTACAATCCTGCATCCTGTTTGCAGGAATTCCATTAGAATTTAAAAGGCTTCTCAATTGACTCAAGCACCAGAGATCTGAGAAACTCTTTCAACCGACTTCAGACATTTCAGCACAACTTTTCTCTCTCATCTGTCTCTCTCATCTCTCGGTAACCTCACATCATGTAGTGGTCACTCTCTGACCGCTGCGATGACGGACAGTCCCAAAGGTTCAGTTTTACAGCATATCCACTCGGCGTCTGTGGTGGAGTACGGTACAAGCTCAGGTCATCACTCAAGCTCTCTGTGACCGCAGGCGGATCTAATGGGAGCTAATTGGGCGTCAGCTCTCTTAGGTCATTTTCGCTTAACCTTCTATAAAAAAAACATAATGCACGTAGAAACAACAAGAAAACAGAGGTCAGGCGGGTTTAGAGACCAAACACCTTCAGCACAGGTGTAAGACGGAGAAAATAAAGCACATTATCATGTTTGCAGGTGCAAGAGCCGGAAAGAAACCCGTCGAAAAATGTGAGGCTGGATTACTGACTGTTTCATCCGCCTCATAGCCCACCAGATGCAAAGGAAGCCGCTCTCAATCCTTCATCTTATCTTTGGAAAATGTGGCTTACTCGTCCATTTAGCTCTCTGAATATTTCATAGCGCGGAGTCAACACGCACGGCAATAATAAGGTGATTTCAAGCGGAAGCCATTTCCGGAAGACTTTATGGGCGTGTGAGCACCTCAGCTGTATCCCCCCACCTTGCTTTCTGCCCAGACCCCATGATGGACCGGAGGCCACCCCTCCCTGTCAGGCTTATCTACTGTTTTTCATGCCGCTGGACAGACCACACCCCCATCAGCGCTTTGAGACAGGGGGGCTGCATCAATACTGCTTAATGTTTTAGTGTATTACAATATCCACCTCAGGCTATGGCTGCCTCGCTCCTTTTCCCTCTGTCTGACTAGAAAAGAGTAAGACTCAGCCTGGGTGGTGCAACTTGAGGAGGGGGATAAAAGAACACGATGCAGAGCTAGATGGACAAACATGTATACCGACCGAGAGAGACAGACTTCCACATCAAATCAATAGAACACCCTCACTTGTCAAAACTTAGTTCGGCGCCCCACGTAACTAGGGCTGCATGTACGGGCATGTGTGTTTGTGTAGTAAACTGTACATGTTTCATCAAAATGGGGCTGCACGTTGCATCAGCGTCTCGGGTTGAGCTCCTGGAACTTCGAGACAATTGTAAGGACGTGCAAACAGATAGAAAGAACTGAGAAGTAATAAAATTCCCCAGTTTCCTTATTCCTCACTCCTTCTCACCCCTCCATGCCTGTCCATCGGCGTTCGGCCACGGAAGAGTGCTTTTTTCATTTGGATAATGGAGCATTGACTCTAATTGTGAGGACAGCCTCATTTGTTTGCCAACATGTCAATGGCCGGGCCTCTCATTGTTTCCACTACATTTACATTAATGCATTTCTCCCCACTTCTATTAAACTGCAACCCTCCCTGGCCAAAGCTGCTGCTGCTGCTGCCGCCTAATGCTGCTTAGTCAGTGAAAAAAGGTTAATAACAATCAAGCAGAAATGGGAAAGAAAGGCTCTGTGTTTCCTACGGCTCTTCATTGGCCTTCTGTAATGGACAGCGGCTGAAAAGGCGGAGGAAGCCAAATTCTGCTGAGATTTTCTCTTTTTGTAATTTTATTTATGGCCTTTTTAGCCCATATTAAAGGACAATTGAGAAAGACAGGAAAGTTGAGGGAATGGGATTGGGATATCGAGAGCCAATAGCTCACAAGCAGAGTTTTTTTTTTTTTTTTTTTTTTGAATCATTTTCAATATATGAATCATTTAATATATAATTTTATATACTAATATATATTTTAACAATTTCATCTTATTTTAATAATTTTATTTTAATAAAATAGTATTGTAATATATTATTTTTATCATTTTTATTTTTTATCTACATTTAAATAGGCAAATTGTATTTTCTTTATAAAAGCATTGCATTCATATTTTTATAATTTAAGTAATTATTTGATCTGTTTGTTTAAATTTTTAACTTTTGTTTGTTTGTTTTTTTTGTTTTTTCTTGTTAGAAATTAGACGTGTGGCAGTGTGGTTCTTGGAATTTTAGTTATTTTTAATTCTACTTCATTAAAAAAATTTGTTAAACATCAATTCAAATTCAAATCCGATTCAGGTATGTTATTGTTTGCTCAACTTATTATGTGGTTCCAAACAAGAAGTCGTTTGTGTCCAGGGGTGCCTGGTGTTTTTTTTTTATTTTTTTTTAAGCTTATCAGATTTTGATTTATTAAGGAGCAGGCAGAGTAAGTGAGTGTAACAGAGATCCCATTACCCAAAAGTTGGTTAAAGGAGCTGTTATTGCCTCTCTTTGCCATGAGCTCTCAGGACGAGTTCAAACTCCAAGGTTCCTAATTTGTGTAAGATTAATACGTTGATATGAGTCCCTGGGGGTAAGCAGCTTTTATATAGCAAGATTCAGACAGGTACAGTACAGTACAGTACACAAACACACATTTACAGAAACACACACGTATACTTTGTACTGATGACCCAGTTGCACCTGTGCTGACAACAGCACTCTGCCCTAGAGAGTAGCCCTCATCTGTCATCACACACACACACACACACACACATCAGTGTTTTACCATTGAGATTAGCCAGGTCATCTGTCATTACAAACATGCACACACAGTGCACTACCAGAGAGATTAGCCATTGAACGTCAACACACTAACACACCTGCATTCTGTCCAAATGAGTACTTCTCATCATCTCACAACGCACACACTCCCTAAAATAAGCCATCTCTAGTATCAATGTAACACACTTTCATGCGCATAAACACTAGTTTACAGACCCAAATGAAATAAAAAGCGGAGTTTTTAAAACTATGTTATATTGTTTTATTTTAATAGCATATTATTTTAACTTCTAAAAACGTTACTATCTCTTCTTAACGTCCAAAGTTCCTGTTTCAACAGGAAATACGTCAACACAGGGCAAAAAACTGTGCTCGTCAAGCAACTTTTTTTCCCATTGGGTCTTTAAGCTACACACCAAGAACCGTCACAAAGTCAGTCTCCTCCAGCACAAATGATGACACCTGTCAGAGAAAGAGAGAAAAATGACGTGCCGGCACATCCTAATGTTCGCTGATAAGATTAGAAAACATCGTGTTCTTCGGTGACTCAAAACGAATGGGAAAGCAACAGAGTAAAGAATCTCATTTGCATCCTCTTCAATGGAGAGAAATGGATGTGAAGAAAGAAAAAGCACATTCATTTACATGCTGATACACAGAGCGAAAGAAAGACACCTCTTCACACAGAGACCTAAATGAGGGGGTAGATACTCATTTAATTCCAGCGCGGAGACCGAGAGCGGGAGAAAGCGCTTAAGTGAGACTGAATGAGTGAAACAGAGGGAGGTGAATATGAGGGAAAATACGAGAAAGGCCGTGAAAAGGGGAAACAGCAGCTTGTATTAGAAACCTGTAATTTAAATCAAAGGTTATAATCAAAAATTTATCAGTTAATTGATCTCGCACATGCTGCTTGCCAAGAGAGCAATTTAGAACCCTGTCGCTCGGGCTGCAAATCTATCGAGCGCCGCTCTATAAAGTAAGTTTGTTGTCTTGTAGTGATCAAGCAGTCCTCTAATGTTCTCTGAGAGCTGATATGATAGGGCCCAGACAAAGCCATTCAGCAGCCGGGACCCCACGCGAAAAATCATGCCTCCGCTTCACTTGAAGGAACAGTCCAACCAAATATTAAATTCTGTCATCATTTACTCACCCTCATGCTGTTGCAAATGTGTATGCTGTTATTGTATTTATTTTCTGTTTATTTTTTCATTACAGTGACAGTTCATCACCACATCTGTCAAGCTCCAAAAAAAACACCACAAAAGCAACAAAAAAGAAGTCATGTGACTTAGCTTTTGTTTGTGTGAGGAACAGAGAAATGTTGTTATTCACTGATAAACAAACATGCTCTTCAGTGTGGATTATTGAGTGAGCTGAACTTGAGAACAGAGTCGGTCCAAATTATTTAAAAGAACGGTCTCAAAAGAATTAGTCATTCACAAATCTGATTCAACTCACTGATTCAGTGAGTCGGTCAGAGGGGTTTTGGAGGTAAGACTTATCAGCAAACAACCTTTGTTGTTATTAAAATCCTCACATAATCTATTGAATGGCTTTAGATAACTTTGAACACAGCGCACAATTACTTTTATGGTGCTTTTTTTACTCTGGTAATTTTTGGAGTTAGACAGATGTAGCCGCTATGAACTGTTGCTGTAAAATAGCTGTGTGGAGATTCTTCACAATTTCTTCTTTTAACATTTAACAGATTTGGAACAACATGAAGATAAGTAAATTATATATTTAGAAAATAATTATTTTAAAGGCGGATATTAGTGTCTCACTAATAATGGTGAAAATTTGTCTCGGCAGCAGGAACAGGGATTCGTATCAGTTCTTGGATTTTATCACTATAAGTGGCATTAATATCTAAGGCTTATCATGGTGTATGATTCAGGTTGTCAGGTGCAGTAGTTGTCCTAGAAGTTGTTCTGCCATTATCATGGAATTAGGTCTCATTCTCTCCTATCATGTTATCATCACAACCCAGACATCCAGGGCGATGATCGCTTTTGTCACGTCTCATTGCAGGCATTGTTCCTTCAACAGCCAGAGAAACTGGATTAGTATGAGATACGTAAGAGTAAAACTGATAGAATCTCTCTTTTTCTTTCTTTCCAGGGTAACCAGGAGGCCCCAGCTCCCCCAGAAGCCATGGCTCAGCCGTACGCCCCAGCGCAGTATCCTCCCCCTCCACCTCAGAACGGGTTGCCTGGCGAATACACCCACCCTGGGCAGGACTACACGGGGCCCAGTCCGGTCCCTGAGCACGCTGCAGCCCTCACTATCTACACACCCACACAGACACACAGCGAGCCACCTGGCACTGACAGCAGCACGCCTTCCCTTACAGGGACTAGCAGCATACCAGTGAGTAATATTAGCAGCATATTTTTTATTTTATTTTATTTTACTTTATTTGATTTATTTTATTTTAGTTCTAAATTCTAGTAAACAAATTCCTTTTACAAGTAAATAAAATGCTCTAGTTGGCTGCAGTGTTATTTCAGTATTATTTAAATACTGTTTTTAATAATGTTTTGAATTAGATTTATTTTTATACTTTGTTTTCATTTTAATTTTATAATTATTTGTAAATTAAGTATTCATTTTAGTATTTTTGTGAAGTGCTATTTTTTATTATTATTATTATTACTTTACTGTTTAGGTTTAATTCAATTTTATTTCAGGTTTAGTTCAGTTTTAGTTTTTATTTATTTCCAATTAGCCATTTTAGTGCTTCAACTTATCATCGCAACTTATTTCAGTTACTTGCCAAGGCAACATTTCTAATTTTCATTTAGTTCCCCTCCCCATCTATTATATTTTTATTTTATTTTATTTCAGCTTTATTTCAATGAACACAAATGTCAATGTCAACTTTATATTTATATAGCACCATTAAAAACATTGATTGTTGACCAAAGTGCTGTACAATGTCAAATAACCACAAAATTAAAACCATACACCACATAACAGATTACAATCACAAACAAGACCAGAAACTATACAAATAAGGTATGATTAAAAGCCAGAGAAAATTAGTATGTTTTGAGTTTTACTTTAAAATCATTTAGTGTAGGAGGAACATTTACAGGTAGCAGTCTCTGGTTATATAAACTTAGAGACCCTAATGGATTGGGAAAAGATACTAGGTCAGAAATGTATGCAGGTGCAACTCTGTTCAAGGATTTAAAGTCCAGTAACAACAATCAAGTAATGTGCTCTCATTTCCACCTAGGAGCCTGGCAGCTGCATTCTGTACCATTTGCAGATGGGCCAGAGATGCTTGGTAAATATCCATATAAATTGAATTACAATAATCAAGTCCTGTTGAAATAAAAGCATGAATCACCTTTTCAAAGTCCTTAGCAAGAAATGATTTTACCTTAGCTTGGACTCGAAGGTTTGTCACATTTAAGAGCACTATCAAAGAACAGACCCAAATTCTTCACTAATGGTTTAACAAATGGAGACAGAAGACCAAAGTTTAAACAAGGTGAGCTAACAGCTTTTGAGGATTCAAAAACTATATTCTCAGTTTTGCCTTCATTGAGGTGAAGAAAATTGAAGGACATCCAGGCCTTCACATCAGCGAGACAAGCCAACAGAGTATCCAAACCCCTCTCATTAGATCCCAGGGGCAGATAGATTTGGGTATCGTCAGCATAACAATGAAAAGAGATACCATGTTTTTAAAACAAAGAAAGCATATACTAGGAGAATCAAATTGGAACAAAAATAGAGCCTTGAGGGACACCACAAGTAAGAGGAGCTGTTTATGTAAATGTTTTTAACAGTTAGTTAACAAGTTTTAGTTAACAATATTAACTCTGGTTGGCCAAAACCTTTTTTTATTTGGAGCTGCAACTTAATACTTGATTTAGTCAAATTGTAAGAACAATAGTCTAATGCTCGTTGGTGGAAGTGATCAGATCAAGATATACAAAATGTCTACTAAAGGAAACTGTTGCAACTTGCAAATCTTCTAATGACATTTACCTCATTGGGAAATGTACCATTAGATGATTATCTGCAGTTTTTCTTTTTATCTGCAGTTTTTCTTCTCCGGAATTGAGTCATATAAGGAACAAAATCACAATGTAATCATATATTATCTTTTATAAGATGTTGATAGAAAACCTGTGTTATTACACAAATACTCTACAAGACTAACATCCCATTTTTAACATTTCTCCATTCAGATAAAGAGAAATTGGGGCTAGGAAATAGAAGAGTTCGAATTGAAAAGAACTTTAAAGATAAAAGGACAGGACAAAATAAGAGACATTTAGAGGAAAAAAAACATCCTTCTCCATTTAAAGAGTTCTGCTTTCTCTTTCCATATTATTAAGCTTTAAGCCATGGCTATCACATGGCTCCATATCTTAAACCCCATGGAGCCATTTACCATGGCTAACAATATCACAAATGTCTCAATGGACCACTTAACGAGTGCTCTATCTGAGCATATGACAAGCACATGATGAAATAAAAGAAACTCTGAGAGGAGAGACTGTCCTTAGACCCGGTCCCGTGGGTAAGTTGTGTTTTTTTCTGTTTGCTCTACCCTTTCTTGGTTCCTATAGGCCTTTGATTAACACATACACTTACACTTGGAGGAAATGCAGGAACAAAGGACAGATGATTCCCTGAGAGTCTTTTTATTTTTTTATTTTAGCACTTAGATTTTATTAGATTTAATATAAAGGGCTGGTTTCAGGGCATGAGAATCATTCTTTACAAGCCCCCTATACTTCGGTCCTTGTAAAATACTTGAGCATCAGATAGTCACTATATTCACAGGAAATGTTGAAAATTTTGGACAATTTGGCCCAATGTGCCCTAACTTTGTCTAGGTAAGCAAATAAATACAGTATCTAAGTTATTGTTGCCATTGTTGCTAGACTATTGTATTTCTTACATTAAAAATATATTTAATGTTGTTGTTGATAGACACCTTTTTTTAAAAGACAGACCCCAAATTTGCCCTTATTCACTTCATAGGTAACTAGAAAGTGAAATTAACACAGCCAGAGAAAGGGCATTAGAGAAGGGTGGGAAAGAGAAATTAAAGAGCATAAAACTTTTCTTCAATGCAAAAAGAAGTACAAGGTCTTCCTGGCCTTGGGGGGAGGGGAGGGGTGGGGGGAACGGATGAAAAATGTAATCTTTTTCTCTTTCTGATTGGGATTTGTGTAAAGCTCTGAGGTGGTGTGGTTTAAAGGAAGGAGATATAATCCCACGCTCAGCAGATCGCAGAGAAGCGATGCTGACAGGCCCAGTAAAGGCACCTGAGCTCTGGCTGCATGGGCTAATCTACAGCTCGATTGGAGGATGTACTTAAACTGTCATTCTGGCCAAACCCACCAGGGAAATTCTTCCTTTCTCCCTATTTTCTCTCTCCCCGTGGAGAATCATTAGCAAAGAAGGAACACTACACCTCAGAGAGTGGACGGTAATCACATCAGATCACATATCAGATCACATCATCACAACAGCACAGACTCTAGCTGCTCGGTAACTCGACGATAAAAGACTACTTACCTCTCTTTAGGGTACGTGCTAACAGTTTTCCACTACGACTGTCATATTGCCTTGGGTGGGATTGTCTAAACTGTGATTTGCAACTTGCTTAAACACAGCCGTACTGCTCAAAGAAGCGTGGTGTTATGTTATTAAGGGAATGCCATTATTTCCTGCACTTATTCTTGGCGGCCTTCCCTGAGTAGTTTTTACTGTGCCATTGATAATAGTACTGCAGGTCTATGCGCTCTTTAAGCCTCCATATTTGTTACCGGCTAAACTTGTTGCGAGTCAGATTATACCTCGTCTAATTAATTAGAGCTTTGCACAAGACTGAAAGGCCAGTGTCTTCTTTCTAGGTGACAGGTGACGGTTTGTATTCGCATCTCAGTGGGAGGCAGGGATGATGAGATCGGAGGGGAGGGTAGCAGAAGTGTGGAAGAACAAAAAAAATATAAAGCGGCTCAAGCTAATCCCTTTAAGTGAAGCGCTGGTTTGGCCCTAATCGGATGTAATCTACCTGCTTGGCAGCTTTCCAATCAGATAGTTTCAATTATGTGGTTGTAGGGGCATTCTGAAGGGGGAAGTGCTGAGCTGAGCACTTTGAAAGTGATTTGCAGATAACACTGAATGAGTGCGGCAATAGAAACGATTTAGCAGGACTCATTCCCCACCCAACTGCACATACTAACACAAGCACACACGAATGTGTGCAAACACAAGCCTTCTCTGACGTTGTGGTGAAGAAGGGGGCTTGGATGTTACGTCCAATGTGGTGGTGTATGATAATGTTCAGGCAATTATTTCTTGGTGCTGCTTGGCTGCTCCATTCCTTGTGGAACGTGAAGTGCAGAGAAGTTGCTCCTCTACAACAGGAATGGAAACAAGAAGCGCATCGGCTGCATGGAATGATTGTAGTCCAGCATTTGGGAAGTCTAGCAAGAAAACTCAAATGAGAAGATTGATGATCTACTTTTGAGGGATCTATATATATATATAATGGGTTTAAGAAAATCGCATTATAAATAAAATGTATTATTATTATATTATTATAATGCCAGCTATATATTTTTGTGTATAAACTATTAGAAGACAAATGGCTTTTATACTGTCATTTTACTAAAGCAAAAATGTTAGATATTAAAATGTTATTTTAATTACTTAAATATTGAATAATTAAATATATTGAATTTCTTTCCTGTTTAAAACTAGTGCTGTCAATAGAATTAAAATAATAGCAATTCATTTAATCATTTCTTACTGGCCTTTAGAAAGCAGAATGAGAATCTAAATTTGATGAATGTAAATAAATCGTTACTTTAAGCATCTTAAATCTTAATCAAACATTAACTTTGAAAGCCCTAAAACTACATGGTCTAATTTTTCTGTAGCTTCACCTTGCGGCCGACTGCTTTGAAAACCTCTTTTTTAGTTCACACATTTAGCATTTGTCTTCAGGTTGCATGTGGGAACAATCAATTGAAACTTGAAATGGCGCATGTTTACTAAAAAAAAGTCCTGGACAGAGTATGTTAGAGCGCTAAATTGTCCACATTTGTCATTCAGTAAATCATTTGGCATACTTAATCCCAGACCCTGGCAAATGGAACGTTGTGTAACATTCCTGACTTCAGTTGTAGTAATTGGCTGTCATAAACCTTTAGAGGGGCTAATATACCTACTTGGGGTTAATTTGGGGAGCTTTTCTTAGCCTACCGTAAAATCCTCCCATATGGATTTACTATTAGCTTTTTTGGCAGGATCCACCTTCTGAGACCCGAATGTAGGTTGCTTAGCTCCTCCACATTGTCTTCCTGGTAAATGGAGTGCTGGAGAGAGGGTTA